AAACGTGGACGGCCACGTTGGATTTCCTTAAGACCGAAAGTTTAGATACATTGACTGACAAATCTCTTTTCTATTTTGTTTTGTATCTGCGCTAAAGATTGCAAAACAGCTGATTGACGGCAAGGCACGAGAAACGTCCAAACGAAAACGATTTAAAAACTGCAGTAGCTCAGTAATAAGTTGTCATTCTGTGGGTAGAATTTCTCATTCTTAGTCAAACGAGACGTCATTGGGAATTTTCCAAACTGGTAACGAAGAGTCTACTTAAATACTTTAGAAAGAAAATTACTTACGTTTACAGCCGAATGCATTTGGTCCTTCGATGCTGTAATAGCCTTCTTTGCATTGGTCACATTGGCGACCAGTTACGTGACTCTTACAGAGGCACTGTCCAGTGGTCTCGTGACACGTTTTGATCAATCCCAAAGATCCATTAGTGTTGCAGCCACATGACTGACAACCCAAAGGGTTATTTATACGAAGATTAAAGTGGAACGGTTTGCAGCTGTCACACTTGTCACCCATCACGTTATCTTTGCACCTGCAGTTAGTCTAGGGAACGAAGGAGAGATTGACACTCAGTCGATGTATCCCTGGGTGTTGCAAAACCAAAACCGAATCAAATTTATCACAAAGGCCTATCAGACCAACGGTTAAAATAACAAGGAGCTATGCAATGAGAACTTAAAGTAACAACAAACAAACTGTCTGAAGCGCGGGATTGATTTAGCTTTCGAATCTGATTAGCTGTGAGGGGAACGCAAGTTTCCTTGAAAAATCAGTGCAAGATCTTCCTTTCGAGTTTCTACATGTTCTCTGGGAAACGGGTTAAAAGATTTTGTATTGATATCAAGATAAAACACCCTTGATGATAAATGAGTTTATTCTCATCACCATTTTGTTTGGATAATTTATTTCTTAATTAAATCTTTAACTCTCAGCCGTGATTTACATGTACCTTCTCCTTTTTGATTACGTCTAATTTACAAGGAAATCTATGACAGCTTGTCGAGAGAATTACTAATTATATCTTGGAGTTAAAGGGTTAAGGAGGTGTTACATGATGATTTTAGATATATGAAATTCATGTATTTTTTCATATATTCATCTATCCACCGCAGTGCAAATATATGAATTTCATATATCTAAAATCATCATTCATTACTTGGATTGTTTATTTGGACCCAACACATTGACCACCTCCCAGTTGGCTTGTTAGCTCAGTTGGTAGAGCGCTGCACCGGTATCGCAGAGGTCATGGGTTCAAATCCCCTTCGGGCCTGAATTTTTTTCAGGTCCTACTTTCAACTACTCGTTTCAGTAGTGTTCTTAGCTGCGAGGGTCTCTTAATTTCATGAGGTGTTACATGTTTATCACGTCTGGAGGTTCTCTAGCTAGTACTTACATTATCGACAGATCCACATCCATTCTTTTCACCAGGGAGTAATTTGATTCCAGCTGGTTCACAGCTACACTTCTTACAGCTTGGAAAATCATAATAGCCAATTCTGCACTCGTTGCATTTCTTTCCATTGAAATTTCGCCTGCACTGACATTGGCCATCTCTTGAGCGACAGAAAGTGCTTAATGAGCCACGAGTGTTGCAAGCGCAAGCTGAATGGCATAAGAGATACAGCGTTATCCTTAGAGTCGTCTGTTGTCTATATCCGGTAGCATATAGAGAACTTTCTTATGGGAAAGTCCTAAACAAGGATTATCATCGATAGCCTATCGTCGATATCCTTAAATCACAGACATGTGCGTAGCAGTATACAGTAAACCCTCTGATACCTCGCCCCTCCCTCTCTGTTTTGAGGCCTCTTAAAGCTAGTCTCGCCATTGACCCGCTGTAAAAAGTTCATCACCAAAAGTTTTATACTTTCTCACCTCGCAAACCAGAAAATGAAGAGATATTTAAAAAAAGTCCACTTTTAACCCTTATAATGCTTGTACCATGTGTGGATCAGCACATTTTCAACTTAGCTTATCCATCCCTCTAGCTCTGTTCATTGTCAATTTTGTAAGTGAATCATTTTTATTAAAAGAAGCATGAAAACGCAGTGCGCGGGGATGACGGGGAGCATAGAACGAACGAACGCGCTCTTTATCCTTTCGATAAAGCCTTTCAATGTTGTTACCATGTGGCCCCAGTTTTCTATAAATCTCAAAAATCAACAGTCGAAACTATCGAATGCTTCAGCCATCGTAGTAAAAATATCCACTTACGCTTGCAATTTGGGAATCCATAATAAGTGGAAGATATACATCTGTCGCACTTGTATCCTCCAAATCCAGGCTTGCAGCGGCACCGTCCGTTTGTACTACAAGTAGGAGAAACTGATCCCACCATGTGGCAGCCACACCCTTGGTAAATAAAACAACAGAAGCTTTTTAACATTGGTGAAAACATGGGAAACGAGAGTTTCGAAGGGTTATAAAAAATATCTTGAGTAATACTAAAGTAGAGAGATCGTTGAGAATGTCGGTAAAAACCAATCTGCGTCTTTCTGCATCTTGCCCATTGAGGGAGGACATGAAGGGCGGAAGAGGAGAAAGGAGTGGATGTAGAAAATCTTCTGCTTCCTCTACCTGTGCATGCTCTCTTTTCTAGTTTTTCTTTCTTTTTTTTAATATTGTTACTCTTAGTAAAGAAAGTAACTGTTAGTAGAAAGCAAGAAGTGAAAGACATTGGAAGATAATTATCGCTAAGCTGTGCAAAGGTTTATTGTTAAGCTGTATCTAGGCAATTTAATGCATGGTTTACTGCTTAAGTGAATGTATAATTAGTTTTGTAATTCGATGTATAATTTATTGTAATTTGTTTCTCATTTCATTAATTTACTGTTAAGCTGTATTAAATTTATTCATTGTAAGTGGCAAATGGTAAGTAATTTGTTCCAGGCAACTTTGATGAAAAACGAATGTTCCACTTACGTCTACAGCGTGGGAATCCAGCGTGACCAAGCTTACATCTGTCACACTTCCTACCCACCACATTGGTCCGGCACAAGCACTGCCCACCAAACTCCTCACAGACCGAGGACCTTGAGCCCAAAACGTTGCACGTGCATCGTAAAGGACCTCCTATGAAACGCATCGTCAAAGAGAACACATCCTGCCGACACTGTCGCCCGCGAACTGGGTTTATATGGAAATGGTCTTTACCACAACTTTGCAAAAATTCAGTAACTTTGTCGCTAGACTGTAGCTCAAGAAGGCTTGTGGAGTAGACGTTTTGAGGCACGAGAAGTAGATACGACTAGAAAAGAAAATCATAGAATTAACAGCGATTGTATTCTGATGAAGACTTAAACTGTTTATTGACGCTTATACAGTAACAGTGGACTTTCTCGAGTCTCTAAACTTAGAACAAGCTATTTCGCACTACAAAAAGAAATTGAACACCAACAAAAAGACTCAATCAACTATTGACACTACCTAAGCCGGCTGAATTTTGTTATCTAGTTACGTAAAAATCATACTGCTTTGTCACTCTATTTGAAATTGTACGAATAAGTTTACTCTGCCTACCAGTAGAGTTCGCCTCTCGTGTTGTATCGTGGCAGTGAAAATCCCTCGGTTGAACACGAACTTTAAGGCTTCCTCTTCCCCGACGACGACACGGCAGCCGGGATCGGCAGGACAGTAGTGGAACGTTACGGGAATATTCGGCTTTTGGTGGCTAGTAATCGATAGTTCTTCAACTTTCTTAGATAGACTGTTAGACTGTCGATAGTGTATGATTATGCGGTACGACACAAAGGCCTTGACAGCCCCGTTGAAAATTGATGTCATCTAGGGAAGAAATCAGAGGTTAGAGGATGAACAAACGGAGGTTACGTCAGATGACTTCATAGCCACAAAATCACTAAGAGTGATGCGATTTAATACAGCAAGTGGTTAAATTAGCACAGGTTCACCGCATAAAGGCTTTACTAGTGTGACATCAGAAAAATTTTCCAATATATAACACAAGTACCACATATTGCTTGTTTTGCCATATGAGAACTACCTTATCTTTAGTCCGGTGAGAAAATGCAACCAGCTGAAATGCGTTCTCAGGTATTGGATAAGTGGCAGGAAAGCATGTTTTATTGACCATTCTGCAAAGAAGCCTGGGTTCGATGTACTGTATGTTCCACTTTGCTTGAGGTATGACGGTGACAGAACTCTGGAAAACAACGGCAGGAAGGAAAGGAAGATGGGTCAGTTATCATCATCGTGGTCGTCATCATCATCACTATCATCATCGTTATTGCCATGTCATTATCATCAAATTTAAGGCTATTATTTTGGTTATGGTCATTATCATTGTCATTATTCATTATCATTATCATTATCATTATTATTATCATCGTCATCGTCATCGTTGTTATTATCAACCCCATGACCAAAATAATAAATATTGTATTGAGATGGAATGTGCAATACGAATATGCAACTGTGAACGGAAGATCCCCAGTTTAACTTCTGAAGTATGAACAAATTTTCACTCTTTGTCCAACGATAGGCAAATCTGAAGTTTGCATCTCTTCTTTTCTCTTCGACGAACAAGCCTAAAAGTTACCATCTCAATATTTTTTGTTTCATCAAACAACATCCTGATATATGAAAAATTGGCGAACAATTACATAAAATCTCTAGTATCCGGCAGTTCTTTAAAACAGCTGGTTCTGCCATAAAACCCTCCAAAAATCCACAGTGACGTAATAGAATGGCACGCATCGATAAAAATGTCACACCCAGTCTAATCAACTTAACGCAAGACATAGAAAGCTTACCACGCCGATCTTAGCAGATGCAGAGCTTTCAATTTTAATCCCAATGGTCTGTCTGGCCTTAAGCTCATAGTTCTTAGGGCGCTTGTTGCCATCCATAGCAAACTGGCGGCATAAAAACTGGTATTTGCATGGCAGAATCTCCATCGTCCCTCGCTGGTTACCTATTGTGATGGATACTCGGTGAATGAATCTCTCCGGATGGACGTAAGTGGCCATGACAACGTAAGGCCCAGACTCTGGTACTGTGATGTCGAAACCTAGGATAGGCTACGAACAAAAGTGTAAATTTAAACTGATGTAGGGACTGATCTTAAATTACTTAGTTTCTCTTACGAGTTTTTTAAAAAGTTTAATACCTGACTTTCTCCCAGCAAGGCCATATTAGAGAGTTTGGGTTCATCTAGGTAGTATAGTGTATCTGTGAATAAATAGGCCTGCCTTCTGAATGGGTGCGTGTAAGCACGGTTCCCAGACACAGTGACGATTGATGGACTTCTAGGGTCATAATATGTATACATATCACAGCCCTCCGGTTTGGAGGTCCGCAGCATACATGGTCCTGATTGCACGTCATTGAGAAGGTCTGCGTTGTAATAATCTTGTGGTAAAAATACAATGTAATCCTGTAAACAGAAAAAAGAAATAAAATAAATGTCACTATTACTTTTTTTTTTTCGTACATAAATGCCTTCTCTAAAAATCTAAATCAGAGCAATTTTCCACGTTTTTTGGCTTCAGAGAAGAAAATCAAACTAACAAATGCACGTATAATAAAAA